TGATACAAATTCACCAATGGCTCTGTGAATCTCAATGAATGTATCTATAACTTCTACACTCATACGGAGAAAATTCATCAAGGGATACGTTCCTCTTTCAAACTTAAGCATCATAGGTAGGACTTTTGCGAGCAGCTGCTGATCTATGATCTTCTCCATTTGAACTGTAACTGTATTGTAATAAGAGGAGTTAGAATTGATGTACCAGCTTTTGCTGGAAAGCATAACAGTTATATTGTGCCCTTGTGAGTGTAGAGCTTTGAGTAAAATATCCATGTTTATCCAGTGGCTGCCTTCACTAGGGAAGACCAAGATGTTGCCAGCCTGACAGACTCTGGGAGTGAAGATGAGCAGCAGCAAAGCACTGTAGCAATAGATCAGCTTCATCTGAAATGAAAACAGTAAATAGTCAATTAATAAATTCAGTTCCAGTTAATGTCAAACTAGAACAAAAATCCAGTGCTTCATAATAAAGCTGCAGGGTGCTGTTGCTGCATGAGTGTCTTAATAGGATACTGGGGTGACTGTGGCACAGGAGGTAAAGAGGTCAACGGTTCGATTCCCGTTCTTCCCAGTCCACATGTCAAAGTGTTCTTGGGCAAGACACTGAATCCCAAGTTGCTCCCAATTGCCATGTCTGCACCTTGCAGGGACAATACCACCATTGGGGTGGGTGTGAGTTGGCGCTGCAGATGGCTGCCTTTTGTACTGGAAACAAATTCCTTGTGTGTAACATACTGGGTCAATAAAAGTGATCTTAATCTTACTGTAACTGTTCTTACTTTGATATCTTGTGTACTCTAACCCAATTCTTCCTGTTTCTTTTGTCAGCTCAGGGTTTTAAATCTGCAGGTAGTTTCTTAGCAGTTAAACCAAAAGTCAGCATGTATGAGGTAAAAGCAGTGCAGGTCTTTAGACGAGCACACAGCTACTGTCCAGTTAGTATACTGTGTATGGTTGCTCCTTTAAAGTATTGATTAGATCAATATTATTACTAGAATCTGATTTACAAACTGCAGTGGAGCACTGCTCTTCATTTTTCTGCTGTCTAAACTATAACGTTGGCATCTACATTCCATTAACATAGAGTATACTAGCATATATATTCAAATATTCTTAGCACAAATAGTTTTGTACTTACTCTAGTTTTTTGTATGCTGTTACTCCAAACAGGAATAAAGGTCTTCTTTGTACAGCACCAGTATATCAGTCCCAACAACACCAGACTTATGCAATCTCCAGAGGAGGGGCTGAGCTTCAGTACAGAATGTTCTATAGCCCAGTGCTGCTCTGGATAGGCAAAGGTAAATGCTGTGTGCAAACACCCTTGTTAGGGAAGTTAATGATTGTTATGATCAGTAGCTTGCATTCAGACATTTAGAAGCCATTATATTGAAATTACAGTTAGCCAGTCATTTACAGTAAATAATTGATCTTAAATGGACTGGTAAATGGTCATATACTGTACTTGTAAAGCTCTTTTGTGCATTGCAGCACACTCAAAACACTTTCACACTATTTGCTCATTTGCACTCCCAAGTGCACACACATACCAGTGATGTCACTGGGAGCAGTTTGGTGTTCAGTGTCTTGCTAAAGGACACGTCAACATGTGGACTGGAGCTGGGAATCAAACTGCCAACCTTTCGTTTAGGAGCCCATCCGCTACTTCCTGAGCCACAATTGCCCATAAACAGTTCACAATTAACAATTTCAAAGTGCATTCTTGACAGTTATCTGTAAGTGTCTGTGTGGCTACTTTGGCCATACTATGTCATTCATTCATTATCATTTTTACTATTTATCTATTTATTTAACTACAAATGTGAGTGTACTGTGCAAGCCAAATACAAGATGACAGCAGTCTTGTCTGCTCGCCATCATTTTGTTACTTGGAAACGAATAAAGAATTACACAACAGGCTACAAGTGAAATGGAATTTAAATTGTGCTAATATCCTTCTGCTTCTGGCTTTGGTCCACTGCAGTCTTTGTGCTGGCTGCTATAAATTGAGAGCACAATGTAAATTGTCAGTGACCCAGAGTTGGCAGTAGTACATTATTTGGATGTTAATCCTTCTCACTTTCAGTCTCTCCTGCAGCCTTTGTGAGCTATATATGTAAACACTACTACAGACAAGCGGAAATTGTTATTGTCTTACTGTAGGATTGTAGTCAGAAGGTGATACTGTTTAGGCATAAGACACCATTATATCACTGAGATGGTGCAATCCCAGTTCAAACTCTAATCAAAATGAATAGCTCCTTGTAGAACTTTGCATGCAGACCTTTGAGCTCTAGTTACTCATCATGATGAAAGCAAGGGATTGCTTATGAGTGAAGTTATATATATATGTATATGTATAAAAAAAAATCCCTACTTCCAGCATTAGTGCCTCTGTGCTGTCTTTCAGTCCAGCTTTGTCCAGCCAAGGGTAGGATTTTACAATATCAGCCACTTCTTCTATTTGATGGTGGTACATACCGTGCAGAGGTTTGTCTTTCCATGAGGGTTCCTGCTCTTCCTTCCCTTGTTCTTCTGGTTTCTGTTGCCTGAGGTGTTCACTAAGCACGTCATCACTCGGGGCCATCTTCCTGATGTATTCATGGATCTTTGTTGTTTCATCCTGGATAGTGGCTCTGACACTAACTAATCCTCAGCCTCCTTCTTTCCGCTTAGTGTACAGTCTCAGGTCAGTCACAGTTAAGTAAAAGTAGCAATACCACACTGTAAAATCCACACTTTTACTTGTAGTGGAGTAAGTATTATGAGTAACATTTAAGTAAAAGTACTCACTATGCAGAAGACCGGTTCATGTCAGTGTGTTATTGGTGCATTGATGTATATGTTAATGCTGTAGACATTTAATGTTACCCTAATTGAAGTCATTTTTTTATACTGTTAGTAGCTTAATCTACAGCAGTGCATCATATTCTACAAGATATACATTTCTAGCATTGTAGCATTGTGAGAACCACATATCTCTGAAAGTCAACTTTTTACGAGCTAATAAAACAAACCTGTTTTCAGTTTTGTGCCAAGGCTTTTTCCAGCTAATCCACAATTCTTTAAATTGCTTATTTAGCTTAAGCTGTAGAAGAATTTGCACCACCCTTAAATGAACACTTTTTAACTTTGAACACTTTGAACAACCTTCACAGTCAGACTACAAATCTGTAAAATGAACTGTACAAAGTGAGTCGACTCAGCAAAGTGACGGATAATTTCGTTCCATACGGCAAAATTATGTGTTTTGCTGCTGATAATTATTTTCCTTAACTTTTACATCTATCAGATTTCACAGCAAAAGCCATGTTAATGTGCACAGAGGAGATATGGACAATAAGATAGAAAGAACAGCATCATGGTTTATGGATTATACATTAGTTTTAAATGTGTTTCCCCATTTCCTTCTCTAATACCTTGTATCCCTTGTATTCCACTTTTGTAGTTTCAACTTTTCAACGAAGACTAAGTGGATATTAGGTCACACCACACCCTACAGAGTTTCAGTTTACAAAGTTACATTTATTCCAGAATAAATTCTGACTTTTGAACATGGATTTCCATGTAATCTGGATGGGGACTCAGATGGACCTACCCTGCCCTCTTGTGGCAGAGCTACTGACTCTGCAGTCAAAGTTTCACATGCCTGTCTCAAGATTTCTGGGGGTTTAAATGAGGTGTTAGAAGAGAATACAAAATTAAAAATGTTTTCCTACCTGGCTCACACACTGATTGCTATCATTGTAAGCATAAAGATTTAATTGTTTGAATACAGTCATTCAATCTTTTTGCCACTTGTTCTGTCTCAGTGCAGTGGCGTGACTTCTTTTTCCATTGAGTTCAGCACAGCATATTGCTATCAGCTACAAGGCAATAAAATGTGCAGTCTTTTAACAACAATAACAATGTTTCCATTTATTTGTTCATTGTCAACAACAATGGTGGGTGGTGCAGTGGTTAACACTGCTCAGGGTTTGGGATCAAGGATAGGTACAGGGACAGGGTTTAGAATGCCAGTTTCTTCTTGTTCTACTTCTTCATCCTCTTCCTTAAGATCTTCTCCAGTTGTTAATCTTTTTCAGTAATGATCCCGTTCCAGAGTTTCACAAGATCCCTGTCGAGGGCCAGTTCCTGGAGAATAGCCGGTCCGTGGGGCCTGCAGAGAGACACTTTTGTTATTTGTCAGAAAATACCAACCACATACAAATCAAAACCATCAAATCTTGCAGCTCTGAACCCTGTGAACTAAAAGCAGTGATAATTGACCTGACTTCAGGGGCAGCATGCAGACACATGTTATAGACAGCAATGAGGAAGCGCTGGGTGAAGTCCTTCCCTGCTTTTAGGATGGCATCTGCTCCCAATCTGTCAGCCAGGAGGTGGAGCTGTTGAGCAATGCTGGCCCTCATTGCTGCGCTCAGGTGGCTGTAGACAAACAAATCCACTCATTATACCTCATTTCTTTTACTTTTATTGCTTCTGCTGCCATAGAATTTTAGATTCTGCTCCCTATTGTGTTCCTATCTTAGTCCTGTATTTAGCAGTAGAAAATCTTTTTCTCTGTCCAGAACCTTACCAGTCTTCTGACCTCAGCAGCCGAAAGCAGAGAGACAAACTCTGTACAGGGTTGAACAGCAGCTGCAGCTCCTCCTGGTTCTTCCTGTCTGTCTTCTTGCCTCTGCTGACAATCTTAGGCAAGTGAAGGCAGGTTTTGGAAGAGTAGCCAGTGTTTCTGGGATTGCCTCCACCTTAGTTTGAGCCATCTGGAGTCTGTCTCTTCTGCCTACGTCTTTGTTTGTTCAGATGAAAAATACATGTCTACCTGTTTACTGTCTTCACATCTTGACCTATTTACATAGCTGTACTTTGACCTGCTGAGGACTACGACAAGGTGTGACAATGTACAAAATAAAGGTGAGAGGACAGTATTATTTACATCACTGAGTCAAATCAACTGATCTACTATTGGGAAGTAATGTGGGTATTGGGTGTCACATTGTACCCTATCATATAAAACTATGAATGTGGCTGTCCTGCACAGTAACTGACTTTAGTTTGGAAAGTTAAAGCAAATTTCTGTCTGTAATTTTACCATAATGACAAATTTTCAAGTTAAGTTTTGAATGCAGGAATCACTGTTGTAATTGTGGTATAGCTTCTTGTACCCAAGTTAAATCTCTGAAAACCTCTGACCGAAAACTACTGGAAGCCTCTGGGGTTCCTGGCTACAATTTCATACACATTCCTAGCTCTGTCACTATGCCTCATCCGTTTGTCTACAGACGTTCGGACCTGGCTCACTGACGTTCATTGACTACACAGGGATACGAGACACTCTTCTCCTGAATCGTAGAGCTGATGGAGAAGTGGGTGGAGATGATACCTCCACAGGGTTTCCAATCAGCTCATGGTCAGTGTGAGCATCCTCCTGGATGATGGTGTCTTCTAGGCTGCCAAGATGCACCTTGGCTACGTCCTCATCCTGTGTTTCTGGTCCCCTCTTGTCTCTCCGGACCCTGGAATTCATGCCATTGCTGAGCACATCCCCATTTAACAAAGGCTTGGGACCAGCTGGGGGTTGACGTGCAGGGAGGGGGTCCTGCTCCACAGAGAATCCCAGTCTCTCAAAACAGCATTGGTGCATGCTAATTCTAAGCCCCACAGCCTTGCTGTCTGATGCACCAGAGCCTCCGTCTTAGTCCTGGAGTGACTGGTGTGGACATCAGGACTCTCTTGTATCTCAAAGCTTTCAGTACTCTATGGCTGAATAAGTCAAATACACATTACAGTGATTTTATTTCCACAACAGTTTCTGTATGATTAACTGACATGATTGAAACTGCCAACACAGGCCATGAGTTGAACTCTAAGCTCAGGTAAAACCCTGAGTTGTGTTCATTTGCTGAAACACTTTTTCACAAATGAAATGTTAAAAGGTTCATTCTTCACACTGGAAACACTAATCTGCCTAAACAAAATCTTTGCAGTTAATGTGAATTGTCCAGCCAACTACATCTCATGCTTTAGAAGATTCAGCTTTTCTTTTCTTTCTCAAGGTTGACAAAAAACTTTCATGCTCAAATGCAACATGTTTGCAAGCACGTGCTTCATAGATTCATATCTCCTGCAAAACAGAAAACCTCTGTGAAATGCAGTATTTCACCAAACATCATCCTTGAACTGAGATGGAGGACACGACCTGACAGCCTTCACTGCACACATGCTTTTCTCAAATCACCATAAAGATGGGATTTTCAGCTAAATCACTTTAACTACTGCATTAAAGTATTGTTTCTGGACTGTCGGTGATGGTTTTGCAGCAATCACATGCTCTGAATGCATCGCAGAAAAACTTTCAGATGTAAACAACACACAGTTTAGACAGTAAAGTAGAGGGTTGTACTTACATTATCACCATCACCAGACCTCCTCCTCATCCAGAATCGAGAGCTATTTGAATTCATGACTTTAGCTGAAGTGTCACAAAATTTTACCAACTGGTATGAAAGACTGTTTCCACTCAACTAAATTTATGCTGTGCATTTCTCTAAGCTGCTGGTTTATGAACATGCTGTATTTGATGTCACAATGAGACTCAGGGTTCTATTTCAGTCCACAAATATTTCTGTGCAGAAACCTGGCTTTATTTCAAAAATGGTTCAGACAATTTGAAACCAAATTCCTACTCCATTTATATTTAAACTTCTCCTGTCCAGTGAAACTTTACAACCATCTGGAAAGACGTCCGTCCATTTAACTGTTTTTATATTTAACTGATTATCTGGTTGTGGTGTCTCCCCTAAATCTGATATAAAGATTTCACTAATAGACTCTGATAAAAACACGTTTAAATGACTAGTACAAGAAGCTGTAATTAATGACTATAAGATATAAGCCACTAACAGCCTATAAGTTCTTCTTGAGGCTGTCAGCACACTTTGTATCACTGCATTGTAAGAATTTCTGTTACAATAAAACAGGCATGCACTATTATTAAATGACTTGTACTATAGCTTACCTTGGAAATCATTACTTTCCTGAATCAACCAGCTGAACAGGACCCGCCACCATTTTCTTCCATCTAGTTACCAAAAGGAATCCTCAAATTTGGGTTTGTCTGAACAAATCTAGATGGAGTAGGGACTAACACGTTGATCTGTAAAACCTCAGTTTAAAACCTATTTTAGTAGAATGAATCCTATTTGGATTTTATTCAAAAAACTTTGAAAACTTTGAGTCATGCTACCTCTGTCAGGTTTGCCCGGCTGCACCTTCCTCTCTTGCTTTTCTCACTTTAGTTTTGCTTCCTCACCCTGATTACACTATCCAGCACACCTCCCCACTGCCCCTGATTATCACCAGCTGCACCTTATTAGTCTCCTCCCTATATATACCCTGCTCACCATTCAATCCATTTTCTCAGGCCCCTTTGCTCAGTGTTTTCTTTCTAGTCCTACCGTTTTCTTTCTAGTCCTACCGTTTTCTTTCTAGTCCTACCGTTTTACCTTTGCTTAGACTAGTCATTTTGTCTCTTTGCTCCTTTTTTTTTTTTTTTTTACCTTCGTCTCCATATTACTCTCAGTACATTCTCCTGTTGTTCTTTCTGTGACTACGGACCTCTCCTCTGGATCCTGGAAATACTCAGCCCTACCAGTCTCCACCATACAGGTTGATGCACAGTCTCCATGAACTGTCATTACGTGCTCCTGTCTCCTCAGCCATCCTCACCTCAACCACAACCAGTTCAGGAGTGACCCCAGCATCCGCAGCCCGACCAACAACCATCGACTGTTTCCCTCTGCCACAGATCAACACCCAGTGACTCTTTATCATACTGCGACTGTTTTATTCACTGAAATTAGCACTGTAAATAAATCCCACACTACTTGCACCGAAGTCAGCCACCTGGGTCCATCTTTTCTTTGCTCGTTCATACTCGTCTCTGAGCAACCATAACAACCTCGCCCAGATTACTGGGAGTGGAGTTCGCCGGTGAGTGCCTGCTGGCCGACCCTTGACCCATGGGACACGGTTAGGCACAGCCTGAAGAAATGACATGGTGCAGCTGCTCTGTGGGCCCACCACCTGCAGGGAAAGGAATTTGGGTTGGGTGCAGTGCAAGTCAGGCAGCAGGCAAGGTCGGGTAGCTGGGCATGCTAGGTTACTGCTGCTTCTGTTCTGACAGCGGTTTTACACCTAGTGACTGTGTTTTCACAGTTCTAGTTGTATCTTCTGTGATAAGGCCTTGGTCCTGTGGTATAGTACTGCTGACTTACTGGAGCTCTCACTTCAGCTGGCTCAGTTTGTCATGCAGGCGATCATTCTTCGCCTTTAATGGGATTGTCAGGGACAAACCAGGCAGCTATAAACTTACACACCACCACAACATGCTGCAGAGACACACACAAGTGAACTACTTAACTGGCTTCATCAATCCTAATGAACAACACTGCCTCACCCAATACCTGTAATACAAACCTCAAACAGGATTATGAAGGCAAAGCACACAGCTAGGACCAACCAGAACTGTAGTCTTCACTGTAATCTTCACTGTTCCTGCACTCTGTAGCTGCACACATCAGACATTGTGTCCTGTTTATGACATCTATATGCTTGAACCAGGCAGGATAGGTCATCTCACTTCTAACCATTGGGAACCAGCTGTATAGTTATGTCATATGTTTAGCTTTATAAACACAAAGGACACAAATAAGCCAAGCCAGGTTTTTTTCCCTTTATTTCATATTTCATCAGTAAATCGATAAATTCTGATCAATTTTTCTGTATATTTGCTCTCACCCATTTCATGTGAGATAAAATGATGGCTTCACTTAATGCCTCTGAACCTCATCAAACTCACCCAAAACAAATTTTCATTCCTTAACAGCAATAGTCTGAGGCTTTTGGTTATTTTTAGTCTAATACAGAACTCTCTTAATCCACACAAGTCACTAGAATAGAGCCTGGAGCACTACAGTAGGTACAAAACAGGTGTTCACAGGTTACTGAGGAGATTCCATTTTTTTCTTGAGACTGAAATGTTACCATGCAGCATGACTCATATAGGGTATGACAGTGTGTGCTGGATGACTAACTCCAGAACACAAGGGTTAATAATAAACAAAAGTGCAAAGAGTTTTGCAAGCAAAAAATAAAATATAGGTTAATCAAAGCAATATATTCAGAAGTGACTGTGCAAATGCATTTTAGTACAAGCTGGATGTATAGCTTTTTCTCCCATCCCATACTACGTAACTGGGTGCTACATTATACTGTCACCATGGCACATCACATACACAAATACATAAAGGCTGAGAGGAACAGGAAATGTAGCAACGTGTGGATGTAAAAACCAAGGATCAACCTGGAAATTGTAATAAATGATTAGCAGTATTTCAGTGGCAGAGGTGGGTGCCCTTGTCATTTCCTGATGCTGCTATGCAGAGACAGTGCGGTGGCTGCGTTGAGGGGGCAGTTATCCCTGTCTGTGATCAGTGACCATTAGGATGCTAGGAGAAGGGGGAGGGGTGGTAGTAGTGGGGAAATGGGGCGGTCTCTCTGAAGGAGGGAGGTGGACACATTGCCTGTGCACAATTGGAGGCAGCAAGGAGTGGAGCTGCATCTGTGTGAGGCGACAGAAAGAACCTGCATGGAATGGAGGAGCACTAGAGCAGCACTGTCGCTGTCGGCGAGACTCCCACCACCACTGCTGCTATGGATTAATGGCAGAGACTCAGAGCAGGTAGAGAGCTGATATGTCACTTGCATGCTCACTGTGGGAAATGTAATTATTAGAGGGCAAAGTGAGGGTGGAGGGCATTCTTGTGCAGTTTATTGTTATATACGTTAAAGTTGGATGAGGCTTTTTTTGACAAAGGCAGCCTAGGGGAGCAGGGCTTGCTGTCTATGGGTTTGAACCCTTAACCCAAGACATGAATACATCCATACTTTAGTAAGATGTTTCTCCAGTGTACACAGAAGCTGTTTTTGTTCACTGTTTTCTCCAGCTCTGTGATGCCCGAGGGACCAGCTGTGTGGATCCGCTGCCACCTCTGATACGATGCTTAGAGCAGGAGGGGTAGGCACCTCTCTTGCACTGTTGCTGCTGCCGCCGTTGCTGTGCTGCTGCCACCTTTGCCACTCACTACGTATGTGTTCCAAGGACTGGGAATGCCTCATAAAATTATCATGGTGGAACATAGTAGGCTGAGTATGACAGATGGCATAGTTGAAGATTAGCTGGACTCTAGCTGATATGTGCAGTAGAAACTGGAAAAAAATGTAGAAATTGGCAGATGGTCAGTAAAAAGTGCAGTGAGCTTACCAAGCTGGAATCGCACTAAATGGTTTGGTGTCAGGGTGACCAATTACCTGCCTATATCAATCTACAATTGTTCCAGATCTTAGATTATAATTCATTTATATTTTTGGCAAATAAGTTTAAATGCATGGGAGTTAGGTTAACTGAGCTCAAAATATTGAACAAAAGTAAGCAGGATATTTAGGCTATATTTGTAACAGTCAATAGGTGAGAGGCCACCTGAGAGTTTAATGTAACATCTGCAGTTTATCCTAAAAAGTCTGAAATGCTGTAACCAAAAATCTACCTCATACCTCATGGGCATCATCTTTTGACTAATTACATGGGGATTTCCTTTAATGTGAGTTTTCCTTGCTAAATAAAGCATCATTATCTCAGAAAAACTGGGCACCATGTCATTTGGAATTGATGGCAAAGATGGGAAATTAAAATTGGTTGACATGTGGTACTGTATTTTTTGTTGTTCAGATACTGCTGAATCAGAGCTTTCAGGGAAGTTATTCAGTCATGTTAATGATGTGAATGGTACAATACGAAACCCAAAATACAGTATATGACACCAACCCAGCATGTGGCATGCAGGCTTGTCAAAAGGTAGACATATAGTCATTAGGACATATACAGGCAGGTTGTAGTTGTCCTTCATACTATAAATAATGAGGCAAATGAGAAGCAGCTGGGTGGACAAATGACTGGGTCAGGTGAAGGCCTGGTACTGTGAACTCAGCAGCAATAGCTAATGGGCAGGTGTGAAACAGCATGTATGGAATAACAGTGGATTACAGTTTGTGCAGCACTGAAATTAATGATATAAACAAGCCAGAGATCAGAGAAAACAGGAACCTCAGTCTGTGCTGTTTATAAGGTATACACTGAACATGTACCGTATGTTCATGTATATTTTTGTTTGTGTGTGAACCTTAGATTTTTGCCTTCTGCTATGCATTTTGTAGGTTTCTTTTTCTTTTGTTTTGTTAAGGATGTTTGCATATTGTAGCAGCGTGCCATCTTTATGTTGATCTCACTAGAAGTCTCATCATGATCATGGTTGTGTACCATACTAATATATTTCATGTTTATTTGATATCACTGATTTGCTTTTTCAGCGTGAAGTGTAAATCAAATTTTTACAGTTATTTTAAATAAGTGTTTTTATATACATTGTAGCACGTGTTTATATTATCTTTGTAGATTAGTATATTTCGATGCTGTACTTTGGAATTTCTCATATTCTCAAAAAGACTAATGTAGAATCCAGCTAACTCTGCAGCTTGCTTTTCAGCCAGGCGTTGGTGATAGCAGGGGAGAAGCCAAAGACATTGATGAATTTGCTGAGTTATTGACTAAGGATGTTGTAGTCTTGTCTTTATTGATCTGCTTAAATTGAGAGGGTGACATTGTAGCTTTGTGGTCAGATTCCAGCCACATTCTCCATCCATAAGTTAAGTTTATAACCATGATAGTGGATGATTTAAAGAGCAAGATCAAAGAAATGGCATGTAAATCAAATTTATTCAGTACTTTATGCTTTGTAGTGGAGCATGCTTCAGCAAATCAATGCAGCAATTTGACTGAGATTCAGGCAGTCTCTGTGCTTTATGGGGGGAAAGTGTGTGTGTGTGTGTGTGTAGTAGTGACTACTGTACTTGCCTTCTGATGCTTTGATGAAAGTATGCATAAAAAATTAAGAAAATATTATAGAGGATAAAGGAAGCATTAACTGGAAAGAAAGACATAACAGTCAAGCCCTGAGTGTGAGTTTGCATCCTACAGTTTTCAAAGTTCAAGTTATGTGTCCCTTTTACACATGGACAGAGTGGGTCTCTGCAGACATATAAAAGACCCTGACATTTCTTACACATTTTGAAGCTTGAGCAACCATGTGATTTGCCGCAGGTTTGTCTTCTTGTGATAGCTTGACCCATTAGCCCCTGCAGGCCTGTTCAGTAATCAATCCATGCATTTACATTATCTAAGTGCAAGACTTGTTGTGATGAATGAAGGAGGGACAGTACATACAGAAAATAGGAAGTGGGCTAAGTCATCTACAATCGTATTCAAACTTGCTTAGTTGGTATACAAGTCCTCCAAAAAATGTTCTTAGAATTATTTCTTGGGAATATAATTCACCATAAAACAACATAAACATCAGACTGGAAATCCCGTTAAACAGTTTAACACTGAACATAGTCCACCCACGGCTCATGGCTGCTGTAGTTCTATTACAGACATTTATCTGAGTAATGGACATCTGTTATCTTTGTAGTGCCGTTGTATAGTCATTGTGTCTGGCTCAAAGCTTTGGTTTCTCTGTCTCTTTAAAGCAGTACCACAGAGGTCATATGCAGCCTGCGGTAAGGTCAGACAGGTGACTCCACTGATGTTTGAGAGATGCTAGGACCAGAGTTGGGAATGGATTAGTTTTCAAGAAAGGAACATATATCGAACAAATTAAATCAGATTCAGTTGTATATGCTGAAGTAGCTACAGTTTAATACAAACTTTTTCTTTTCCTTCATTTTGCTTTTACACACCTTTCAGGGATTCCAAAGCTCTCCTCCTATGCAAAAGCAGAGGACAAGCTGTTCAAATACCTCTTTGGAAATTATCAGAAATGGGTTCGTCCGGTGGAACAGCTAAATCAGACGATCTGTGTGAAGTTTGGACTGGCTATCTCCCAGCTCGTTGACGTGGTGAGGATACAAAAGCACTGATTCCTGAATAACGTTTATGAATTTAACTGAGCTGCTAACTGCATGAATGTAAAATAAAGCAAAAATGTTTACATTTAAATGTCTTATTTTGGCATTCTAGGATGAGAAAAACCAACTGATGACAACCAATGTGTGGATGAGACAGGCAAGTACTGTCGAACTATTCATCTGTCCTAAACCCCTGATGCAGCATTACATTTCACCATCATCAGTAAGCATGCAGGTAAAGAAGACAGGCTGTTGTTTTTTGTGCTACATTATGGATGCAGAAATAGTCCAAAACAACATGGCATGGAGAGACAACCAGCCAGCCTCTTCACACCCCTTTTTAATCTGCTCTGGTGGCATGTCACTGACAGTTCTCATTTTTTTTGAGTCCCTTCGGCCTTGTGTCCACACACTTGCTTCCGCAAGAGACCTTCTTTTGCTCCTGTCAGCCTTATTCATGATCTTAGGTGTCCTGTCTGTCACACTTCTTATAAATTATCCACACAGGCCAGGCTCTGCCAGACAGGTCGGTTGTTTCTGTTAACAGTGATGGATTGCATCAGCAAAAATAGAGCTGGAAGGGCAGCAACCATTTTGCGATGCCAGTTTGTCATAGATGTCCTTTGCTAAGTGGAAAAAATGTTTGATCTTGAGATGTTTTTGTTCTTTCCTTCATTTGATGCTCTCCTCTTTGGTTTAGAAAACAGATACTGTTCTTAAGCTTTTGTCACCCACTGGCTTACATTCCAGATTACTCACTCACAAGGTGCTTACCATGTACAGCATGCCTAAGCTAAGTCAAATAGGTTTGTTGTTTGGTCATTTAATAACAGTAAATTTAGCTACACTTGCTCAGACCCTTCTCTTAGGCCTGGAGCTGGGTGAAATATTGCATATAGCAAAACTACTATACCCTCTAAAGAAAAGTTTAACATTTTGGAAAGTGTGTCTGTTTGATTCCCTGCTGAGACCCAAACAAGATAAGTGACATGAGTGACAGCACTGACTGCAGTAAAAATTATCACCAGCTAGTTATCGCTAGTATCTCATTATCTTAACTTAGCACAAAGACTGGTGAGAGGAGGAAACGGCTCATCTTTTAATTCTCAAGGACATAAATAAGCATAGTTTCCAAAACCAACCAAACCAAAAATCAAACCTTTCCCACAGATGTAGATTTTATGTTGGGTTTTCACTAGATTTCCAATGTTATCTGTATGCAGGAGTGGACTGACATGAAACTCAGGTGGATCCCTGACGACTATCTGGGAATCACAACCATCCGCGTCCCTTCTGACAGGATCTGGCTCCCAGATGTTGTATTGTATGATAAGTATGTGTCCTTATACAGTATATACTAAGGAAAGTAAACAGGTGTCACATATTTTGTCTGATAGTCATCATGACCATACTGACATGCTGGCAGTACTGTGTCAGAAACAATAGTTTCATAAAGCCTGTGTTGAACCATGGTTGGTGTGACAGCTTGGCTGAACTTTGTGGAACATCAAATCACTGTGTGGGCTATAATCTTTTATACTAAATGAGGGCTGTGCAAAAATTTAATTGACATTCTAAAATCATAAAAGTATTTTTGATAAAGTGCAATCATGTTGACCTTCACAGAGTTAATCAGACCAATCTATCAGCTACAACTCTGGCCAAAGCATTTACGTTTCAGATGAATTGATGTTATGTCTTCCAACAGTTCAGATGGACGTTTTGAGGGAACTGTCACCAAAGCAGTTGTAAAGTATGATGGGACCATTTTATGGTCACCACCCGCCAATTACAAGTCAGCCTGCACCATTGATGTTACCTTCTTCCCATTTGACCTCCAGAACTGTTCAATGAAGTTTGGCTCCTGGACATACGATGGCTCCCAGGTGAGCTCTCTCCTCTACAGTGCATGTCCACCACGTTAATGTTTGTCATGGCCAGTAACTGAAATGAGATTGCCCTCTATATTTAACAGGTGGACATCATTCTGGAGGACTTCCATGTGGACAAGCGAGACTATTTTGACAATGGTGAATGGGAGATAGTGAAGGCCACAGGCAGCCGTGGTCTGAGGACAGATGACAACTCTTCCTACCCCACCATCACTTACTTCTTTATCATCCGCAGGCTGCCTCTCTTTTATACACTATTTTTGATCATCCCCTGCATTGGCCTGTCCTTCCTCACCATCCTTGTTTTCCATTTGCCCTCCAATGGTGGGGAGAAGATCTCTCTCTGCACATCAGTGCTGGTGTCGCTCACTGTTTTCCTTCTGGTCATTGAGGAGATTATCCCCTCCTCTTCAAAAGCTATCCCTCTCATCGGGGAGTACCTGGTCTTCACCATGATCTTCGTCACACTGTCTATCATCATCACCGTTTTTGCCATCAACATCCACCATCGCTCTTCCTCTACACATCACGGCATGGCACCTTGGGTGAGAAAGATTTTCCTACATCGATTGCCGAAGCTGCTGTGCATGCGCAGCCATGTGGACCGTTATGCCACAGCAGCAGTGACCAGGGCGAGAGGATCAGGAGGGCTGGGCATGATGAAGGACTCAGCACCTGAGGTCACCCCTCTACTCTACACCAGACATAACCTACAAGCAGCTTTGGATTCTATTCGATACATAAGCATGCATTTGGTGAAAGAAAATGAGGTCAGAGAGGTGAGTATGTTGGATTGTGCATATTTGCACATTTACAGGTAATAATGAAAATAGTTAGTAGTAATATATACATGATTTTTCTGATATATAGCAAAAGAAAAGATGGCCACAAATGCCATAATAAACCTCACAAACTGTAATACTGTATGTTACTTATGTCTTGTTGCATCTCTATGTGCTTCTTTTCTGGTACAGGTGGTACAAGACTGGAAGTTTGTGGCCCAAGTTCTGGATCGAATGTTTCTCTGGGCTTTTCTCCTGGTGTCGATCCTGGGCTCCGCTTTCCTCTTCATCCCGGTTATTTATAAATGGGCCAACATTGTCGTCCCTAATCATGCTGGAAGTACCCTGTAAGAACCGCAGTTCAGCTAACCACAAATGGAGGGAAACGTGAACAGCTCACTGTGGGTCCTGTTGTGCAGACTGAGATACTGGGATCACGGTCGTTCTGTAAGCTACAAGCTATGCCAGAGCTGAAGCTGCAGAGCTGGCTGCATCTCACAGAGACATGTTTTTTAGAAAAATATTTGAATTCTGCATTTCTGAGTTTGAAGTGAAATGAAATGACTCAGTTGATTACATGTACTACATACTATACAGTACTACTTAGTGTATAAGACAAAAATACAACACTTAGCCATGTACTGTACATTTTTGTCCATATCTCAAACATCAGTACATTTCAATACATTCATTTTATCTACTATAGTAGGTGGGATTTTGCACTGAGTCTAGTAGACATTCATAGATACAAAATAAAAAGATGTCCTCGTATTTAAGACAAATATCTGACTTGTGCTGATGCAGGTTTCTGGGCAAAATTATGAAAGCCAATTCAGTTTAGTTCAGTTCATTTAAATACAACTTTATATATCCCTGGAAAGGCAGTTAAAAGGCAGCTTGCCATCCAGATAAACCAATTCATTGACACAATAAACAGGAGAAGAACTCTTACATATTACACTGTGTGACTATACAATATTTATAGTATTTGGAAAGACAACTACTTTGTCACTTTGGGGCATAACTGAAATAAAGGTGATAATTCAACATTGTTTTTCTGCAAGTCCCTGTCTCTCAGAGCACCTTCTTCAGTACTCACAAGACATTGCACTCCCCTGTCTCTCAGAGCACCTTCTTCAGTTCTCACAAGACATTGCACTCAGTAGAGTGTGGAAAGGAAGCTTTCTTGTCAGGGCTTGAATGTTTCAGCCTGAGAACAATTCCTGTGCTCTTTGGGATGAATGTAAGCAGACTCTTGGTAACAGATTAGTAAGTAAATACTGTGGGTACAGGATGTTTCTGACCTATTGTGGCTTATCACAAAGACCTAGCTCAATCAAAAGCAGATCTTGGTACTTGACTGATGTTGCATGCAGATATCTCTGTCATTTAGAGAAATTTGATTAAAAGCCTTAGGTTCTCTACACCATTGTTCACATCTGCAAGAACTAGAAGGTTCTCTGTGGTTGAGCCTGCACTGCCTCTCCATGGCCATGTTTAGAAAAGCAACACCACCAGGGTGGACACACTGGTGACTGTACTGATGAAACCAGTTCCAATTACAATAGAGACTGCAAATAAAATCATACCGAACAAACAAAAAGAAGCTCATCCAAAAAATGTCAGTTTGTTTTTTTGTTTACCTGAGATACAAACCACCAGAGACCCAGATTAACTGAGCAGAAAGTTTGTATTAGTAACAGTGCATACTTTTTCTGTTTCCTATCATTTCCTTCATACCAATGTTTCCCCTCTCACCCACTATTACAACTCTACACTCGGTTGTCAGTTTATTAGGTACACTATGCTAAAACTAATGCAATATAATACAACTCTCCTGCAATAAATTACTGAATATGAATACATTCATATGGCCAGGATAGAAACATGCCAACTATAAACTGTTATTTTATGTTTTATATGAGTAGACAATGGAATCAACAAAGAACAAAATTGTCTCACTGAATGCAACAAAAAGAAATATTGTTCTACACTGTTTAATCAATCAACACAATGATGACATCAACACGTGCATTGTTCATGATTATAAACAAGTATATTTTATAAAGCACTAGTTATACAAAAAGGTATGCATGCGCACTCCTTTCACTGAAAGTTCACTCAAAGTAATTTGTTGGATTGACTTAACCCAGCTATGTCAACAATTTCCACATAACTGTGTTGCGTTAGGAGTATTACTAAATTATATCTAATGTCAAACTAACTTTTTATGCACAACCTACATGACTGTATTAAGTAATTCCAACATTATCTGTTCAGCTTGTATTTAATTAATAAGTCAGTGTCTGGGTAACTAAACCAACTCACATAAATTCAGCATAATGCTGTTTATTTTTCTTTACTTAACTTTAAAAAAATTCCAAACTTGTTACAAAATCTGGCAGTTGATCACAGACCTATAAAAATTGCCATAACAAAAATATTTCCACCTTATATTTTTCAGTGTTTCATAAAATAATACAACAGAAAATACTGCAGTGGATAAGGTTCTGATGTTTTGATAGATTCAACAATAATAACTTGGTCAAATTAGCTTTGGATTTCTGAATAAAAACTGCTTACAGTTTCAGTAGCTTATACACATGGGATTTGTCAAATAAGACAAAAAAAAAATCCCACTTTACACTGTCCCTTGAACACAACACTCAACAGTCTAGAAACATCAAAGTTTGCTTACCTCAGTTAACATCAAATATGTGCCATGAAATGCTTCAAAAAAGTCTTTTTTTAAATGGACAACATAAAATACAAACAGAAAAAAAAATCCAGGTCTGAATGGACATTTAAGAACAGTGCTTATTTCAGTAAAATTAAAATGAAACCTCTTTCACAGCTTCTGTCACTTTTCTCTTTTGTGAACATTCAGAAAGTCTAACACATATGCAGGTAATACCAACATATCTATCTTATAATTGAAACAATTTGTTTTTTAGCACCTGAACCTTTGTTGACAGGCGTTTGCCATCCAGTTCCATCATAAGTATTTGAAGAACCTCAAATGTGTACTTCAGGTTTGTTGGGTAGCTCAAATTCAATGAGTACATGAGGCCAAATAAGACTGCGAGTGCATTTGCTATGTTACCAAGGTTGTTAAGCACTTCCACACCTTCAATTACAATTCCAACATCTTCCAGGTCATCTGTGGGTTCAGCACCTTCCTTTATTATGGCAAAAATTCCAAGTATTGTTGCGCCACCTGGCCGGTGCATCAGCAAAAGACATGAGCTACTGAGCATGTGCAAAGTCTGTCCTATGGAAACTCAGACAAACTAGGTCACATGACCACTAATTTCAGAAGAAAATAGGATCTGAATGGATTCACTCAACACTGTTACGTTGTATTAAATCAAGTGGCTTTTGTGACTATAACAAGTTTTCAGTTTTAGTTTAACCTACTAAAGTGGGTTGTGTTTTAAAAGCTCACAGGTGTATTAATTAATTTGGACACAGATGCATTTAATTAATTGAGCATGTCATAAAGTTCACTTTTTTGAGTGTTCACTGTCTTGATTCTAATTGATTTTAGTAGTTTTTAAGCTGGTTTATAATGATGGCAAATAAAAATGTGTAAGGATAGTTTATCCCTCGTGCACATGCAGCCTCCAGCTATGTTTGCTCTTCAGGTGATACTGTGGTAATGCAGAGTCCAGATGTTTCTCATCTGCTGCATGTCTAGAAAATTTAATTCATTCAGTAATTTCAAAGATTATCATTGCTTTATATGAATAGCAGTGACACACTGAAGAAAGAAAGAAAGAAACAAGACAAAACAAAATAAAAACAGGTGTTCAAGTTTTGCCTTTAACTGACAGTAATATCAGGTGAGTGCTGCGTTTTTTTCTGTTTGAAGGACATAGCGTACAAACTTGCTGAAACTGGTGCTGCAGTTAGGTCATCTGTGGTTGGAAAGTACACAGTTAGACAGATAGACGTTATCTCTTTTGACACAGTTATTCTTTGCTCACTGGTTTACATGACAGAATTAGCTGCTGTGAGAGAAAGGTGGCCACAAAACACTGTTCACACCTGCCCTTCTGCCACTTTTCAAATAAAGATGTGGTTTTCCTCTGAGACGTACTGAACCCACAAACAAAAATATCAGCATAGTGTGACATAAAGGACAACATCATACTGGCTTATAGATTCTGACATAAAACATTTAATATTTGTTTGACTACTCCAGTCCCATTTTCTCTCCATATTGTCTGTCATTGTGTTCTGTGTTTAACCTGTCTCAAACTATACAAAAATGCAATGAAAAAAAAAAACTATTATTTAAAACAACAAGAATAACTTGTTTGTCAAATTCAGTACTAGCATATTACATCATGATGATAACTCATGATAAAGTACCTTTAGCAAATTTTTAGGTGGCACAGCTCTGCTCAGTGTCGTCAAACTCATCATTACTGCCATCTGCATGTTAGAAATTAAAATATTTGGCTTTAATAAAGACAATAAAGCCTTCCTCTGTAATGCAAAAAGTTGCTAAATACAGGATTGTTATTACTCACCTACAGCAGCGTACACATCCTCATAATCGTCAGAGTAAGTGGAGTCCGCAATGCTCGAAGCATTCTGATACCTGATGAGAAAATATCTGCAAGCTAAATAATACTACTGTAACCACAACAGTAACATTAGTAACTTTGCACAATAATATTATTCTACACTGGTGTAAAGATAATGCAACATAAAAAGTGTCAGAACAAATTAATGTAAAAAATAATAACTGAAAAAAATCTTTCAGTAACAAAAGTCACTCAGCAAATTAAATTATTTTTTATGATTTATTATAAATATATGCTTATATTATAAAGTAATAAAGCCTATATTACTTTCCTTCTGTGTCAAAGCAACACCCAAGTAAAACAGATTTATGTTCTTACCCATCTTCATCCTCTATATTGAAAGTTTCTCCTGGTAAATGAAAAAAAAAAAACAATGTATACAGTAAAACAAACAAGAAAAAAACCTGAGCAATAAAAGAAGAAAATAAATTGACTCATTTCTTCTGCTATGGCTTTATATCTCAGTAGGTGTGTGTGTAATTATATTTGTTTTACATAGCTTAACTCTTTTCTTAAGAAAGTCACAAATGACTTAATTACAAGGTACTGTATGTAGTGATAGAAATAATTAGAACCCACCAAACAGATGATATTTTCTTTCTAATTCATCAAAGGTAATTTTATTAGAATTTCCCCCCAGGGTGGGTGTTTACTGTAATTCAGTTTTCAACATACTGTCTTGTGCTTCCAGATCCTCTCCCTCTGTCTGCTCCTGCTGTTCCTCCAACATGTTTGCATTTGGCTGCTCACTCGTTCCACTTTAAGAAAACACAATTTATAGAATATGAAAGTCCTTTTATTAAGTCAGTACTCTTTGACATGTTTTTATCCTAATAAAATTGTCGAGCTGGCATGGTGTTGCAGTGGTTAGCTCTTCTAGATTTTTGATTCAAACCTCACCACAGGCTAGGGCCTTTCTTTGTGGAGTTTACATATTCAGTGTGGGTTTTTTTTCTGGGTACTCTGGCTTCCTCCTACTCTGTGCGGGTTAGGTTGATGAGTGACTCTAAATTAGCCGTAGGTGTGAATGAGAGTGTGACTGGTTGACTGTCTCTACGTGTCAGCTCTGTGATAGACTGATAAACCAGGGTGTACCGTGCCTTTTCCTAGTGTCAACTGAGATCCAGCACACCATGTCCAGTGCTCATCCGCCAAAGAGACAGGATAAGGAGTATGCAGTAGACGGATGGATGGATAAAACAGTAAAGACCACAGGTCTGGGAGTGTCATCAGACTCACCTTGTATTGCACAGGTTGGAGCAGCCTGCTGAAATAGGAATAAAACACAACTTTGCAGTAAATTACGTAAATGCACACTGTATGTTTGAGTTAATGAAGTAGTTGGTGTGATAAACCAGTCATACAATTTAAAAGCTACTGCCAAACACTAAAATAGATTTTTTAGTCTGTCAGTCAATGAAAGTATCATTTTAGTGCATATTAATTATTTCTCTCTAACAAGCTGACCTTGTTTGATCCAGCACAGGCCCAGTAACAGGATCACGGTTATCAATCCACCGTAAATAAATAAATGATTAAACAAACTCCCTGTAAAGCAAAACAAATATCATGGATATTATTATATTTCAAAAAGTGTTTTATGCTTCAATAAGAAAAATTCTGAATGAAAATTAAAGCACCAACTAAACTGAACAGAAAAACTAAATTTTTTTTTTTATTGAATTCTGTTACCATGAACTGCTGACATCCTCACCTTTGACCTCAAGTAATACCCTGTTATTTCCATAGAGTGTTTCTTCATGTTCTTTTATGCATTTTGACGGCAGCACCACACAGCTGTAATGACCCGAATCCCTCATGACAGCACCCTCAATGATGAAATTCGATTCCATCCGTTTAATATTAAATGCTTGCACTTGAAGGATTTTTTCATTCTTCCTCAAGTAAGACTGGATGAGTTGACATTCACCGAATGTTTGCAGGGTGTCATTAAAAGTACACCTGAATTTAACATCGTATCCCTCGCTGACAGTAGATGGCCCAACCAATGAGAGTTCTGCAGGGAGAAAATTGGCTGCGTAGCGGCGGTAGAAAATGAGAAGAAAAAGATAACACTGGCATACAGTAATACTTCTGTAGGAGTGGAAATACTTACCTATAATCAGAATCTGGATGGTGTTGTGCGCTCTTGTAGCTACTACTACAGAAGGTTTGAACTTCATTTTGGAGTAAGCGCAGCTATAATTTCCACTGTGTTGGCGACCAGCTCTGTGTATGATGAAGGTAGTGTCACTTTGATCTTGTGTCTGCTCCAGCATCTTGATGCCAAGGCCATCCTTACATAAATAAACATACACCATGGTGGGTCTCTTTAACCCAAATGTGCTACAGGTTATATAAAGGTTATCGTTCTCCCTTATAGTTTTCTCTTGGGCAAAGATCCTCGCAGGAAAAGTTTCTGTAGAATTCATTTGTGGAAAAAGAGACAAACATTTTTTGATAAATGATACAGAACAGTCACAGTGTGAATACAGCACACGTCTTCTCATGAATCAAAGCTTACCATTAGTTTGGCTCACAACCTGCTGTGCAACAGCACCTTGAAGAAAAAAGTTAAAAATAAACCTTTATCCTTTAGCTTGTGTGCAAAACTTCACTAATTGTAAATACAGAAAATTAAATAGTTAAACATGTCAATACTCACATAGCAGAATGGTGAATGGACTCAAGATTATAAGCAATTTAATACCCATAGCATCCCATAGGTGTGCACAGCATACCTTGTGAAACCCTGCATAGAAACTATCATGTTCTAAGCTTCACCGAGAGAAGGCTGGAAGATTACACAAACTGTAATGATTCATTTCCTGTGCTGTGGTCACCTGTGACACGTTAACACATTTGTTCCAAAATTAAACATCACCAGCTGAAAGCGATTGTCGATAAGAAAGTAAAACTCACCAGACAGTATTTTTTAAAACTGTTGTAACTGAACTTTTTATATGTAGTAGTGAACATTATCTTCCATTAAGATTTCATTGGTGTTCCCTTTGTCCCCGATTATTAGCCAGTTTTTATGGAAAGTAACCCTCAGAAAATATTCACTGATACCTTTAGAAGCGTATTCATTTCATATATTGTACATCATCTGGGAGAGCTCCTGCCAATCAGCCACAAATTCATTAGCGTAGGGTTTCTCATCAGTTGTTATAAAGGACTGTGCTTCCAATTCAGCATTTAATTAATACAGCTGGATTTTCATGTAGCCACTTGGCTCACCATGTGCTCAGATTTTCATTTGTATGATATGCTGACAATTAGATTCTATGCTGGTTGCTCTGACTCTTTCAGTGCAGACACTTATAAAGTCTGACTTCCTGCATATGTGCTGATGAAATAGAAAACAAACCTTAAAATTAGTCACACTCTGCAGGTATATTTCTGTTACATAACAGCTCGTCAGAGATTCAGTGGTTTTGCTAGTTTACCAAACCTGTATATCTTGACACACTGTTATACTTTATCCAAAACTGTAGCAAAACAGAAAATAAGCAAGGACACCATATATTAATTTTTAAGCACATGTGTGATTTTACCCTAACCCCTCATAGCAACAGACCTGTGGTGCTGTAGTCCCTGTGTAGTGAGAATATAAAATTGTATTTTGGCCAGGAAGACTGCGTAGATGAAGAAAAGAGAGGAAGTCAAAGCCCTTCATCACTTGTTCTTTACTTGGATTGTCATCCAATAAGTTGAGCTCCAAGGATGTGAAACAAAATAATAAAGAGAGTCTCCTTGAAATGATATCTACATCCCATAGCACTTGTTTCAGGTTGCAGAAATATTTGGTATCTCAAAGAAACCACCAACTGTTTGTGAAACTTAATAATAATAATAATAATAGTAATAGTAATAATAATAACTGAAGCCACAGGAGAAATTCATTTGAAATGCCAAATAAAACTGAGTAGCAATAGTCAATGTGTGATGTAACAAATGCACTGACGAGGAGCTCAGTACTTGCTTGAGTGAGTGAAGGACGCAGCCTAGCAATGTTAGATGTTACATAGATCAAAGAAAGCAGTATGAGAGATGGCGTTGATGTGATCATTGAATGATAAAGTATTATGAAGAATAACACCAAAACTCTTAACTGTAGTAGATCAGGGAATAGCATGGTCATCATTGTTTAGTTTCTGAGCAAAAAAAAGTTGCCAAAAGTGCCCCATGTATCACAACAACAACAAATAAATAAATAAATAAATAATATGGCACATTTATTCCTATGTGCCTGGACTGTTTGTCTATTCATAAATGGCAAATAAAAATTTAGAATCTTTAATAAGGTTTAATAAACATCTGAGTTCCAAAAAAATCTGAATGTTCTGGATATTTTTTTGGTGTGTCAGGCTTTACAGGGTTAAAGGGCCTGGTGGAATATTATCAGTAGGGTTTAGTGATATATATAACTGCTTATCATCAGTGTAGCAATGAAATTGTAGACCACATTGTCTGATGATTTTCCCCAAAGGAAGGAGATGTAATAAGCAAGAACAGTCCTAGGACACAGCGTTGAGGGGCCTTCTTGCAATATCAGACGTTCTAGATTGATAACCATGAATCCTAACTCACTGGATGCTCTCATTTAGGAAGGAGACAAGCCAGCTTTAAACTGTGTCAGAAATATCACCTAAGCGTTCCAAAAGAAGCGCATATGACACTGTATTAAATGCTATACTAAGATCCCGCAGCACAAGAATAGACACCAGACCAAAGAAGGCCATTAGTTATATTAACTAAAGCAGTTTCAGCGCTATGCTTTTGATAAGAACAGGACTGGAATGGTTCATAGAGCTCATTCCTTTCCAGGTCTAGATGAAGTGACACTACTTTTTCCAGCATCTTAGCAACAAAGGATACAGCACAATTTTGCTTAAAAAAAACCATAAAAATAAAAAAAAACACAGAAACATAATTTGTAATAATACCACTGATCCCTTGTTTATCTTGTTTCCTCACTGTACCAAAGTCAAATTCCTCATGTGTTCAGAATACCTGGCCAGTAAAACTAATTCTGATTCTGATTCAGAAGTTATGGGTAAATATATTCACATTTCACTTAATTCTTGATAATGCTTCTGTAAGTCATTACGGTATGCAGAAGGTATAAGGACAAAATCAAAAAGCTACTTTCCTACTGTATATTCATTTATTTATTTTTTAAATATTGAGAGTATTATAACTTTTTAAGTAATATTGACGGCTTTAAAAGAGTCAGAAAATATTCATTTCACTTGTAATAACAAAGCATCACCACATGATGTCACTCTGACCACAGTAAACTTTGCTTGGTTCTCAGAACCACATAAATCCATATTGAATGATAAACAATTTGTAATCTTAGTAAATTTACCACAAATGGATGGTCATCATGCTTTTTGTAATTGCTTGCCAGGTATTACTCCTGCATCAGAGAGTCATTACATATTCCAGGAAACAAAGAAACATCTATCTATGTAACACACACAGACACACACTGAATAGTCTTTCATCTCTGTACCATAGCAAGATTCTTATGTGGAATATATGCTGTGCACTTCATCAGGCTGGAGTACTAGTTTTGTCAGACTGATTCAGATGTCCTCCCTGACTAATAGAGGCTGGAGGAAGAGGCCAGCTGTTCCGAGGATACACACAAGGACAAATACCCACAAGAAAATCCTGTCGATAACCATGGCAACGTACTTCCAGTCATCCTGAACCTGTGAGAGAATCACAGTGAAAACCTCTTTAGTGAGGTGGTGACATTGTCATAGATTCTGTGAAAGGAAACTGCTCTAAAAGTTATATCTTTGGCATGCCCTTCATAAATTACTTTTATGGTTGTAAGCACCCACCTCTTTTGCTTCATTCTGTAGCCTCATGTTCTCTGCTATGTATGTGACACTCTGAATAGCGTCCCTGACCTCAGGGGAGAGTGACAACAGAGACGATATTATTCCTCCATCCAAAGACTCAGAGCTGGAGCACTGGCTCTCTCCTCCAGCCCCAACAGCACCACCTCCAGTCAGCTCCCCTAGGCTGCACAGTCCTCCATTCCCTCCTGCTGCCGGCAGTTTGCTGGATCTCTGACGCCAATAACAGTTGCAGCGACCCTCACTGCATAAAACCCCAGAACCTGCACTCTTGGATGGTTCTCCACTCAGGTTATTGAGGTTGGAGAGCTCTGTGTTATTGAAAAGTTGCTGGCGGTTCATCAGGCTGGATGCCACACTGGAAACTAGGGCCTGAGGTTTATGCTGCTTCTGCAAAGTACCTGATGGATGAATGGTGCAGGCTCTTGAGTGCATCATACGAACGCTGCCAGCGACTGTTACCCTCTCAGGGTCCCTGTCTGGCCTGGTCATGAACATCACCCTGGGCAGCAGTTGCAGGAACACACTCCGGACCCAGCAGGGCATTGTGTGCGTTTTTGGTGTGCGGTAGTGGACGTTCAACACAAAAACAGTAATGACAATGGACAGAGTCACAAAGATCATGGTGAAGAGGAGGTACTCGCCAATCAGGGGGATGACCAGTGAAGTGGAGGGGATGGTCTCAGTTATGACCAGGAGGAAGACAGTTAAAGAAAGCAGGACGGAGATACACAGAGTGACTTTCTCACCACAATCAGATGGCAGGTAGAAGACGAGCACTGTGAGGAAGGAGATGAGGAGGCAAGGGATGATCATGTTGATGGTGTAGAAAAGTGGCAGACGGCGAATGTACAAAGAGTAAGTGATATCCGTGTAGATCTCCTCACAGCAGTTGTACTTAATGTCATGTTTGTAACCAGGAGCGTCGATGATCATCCATTCACCGCTCTCCCAGAAGTCCTTCAGGTTAATGGTGGAGCCAATAAGCACCAGATCAATCTTTGCTTTGTCATAAGTCCAGGAGCCAAACTTCATGGTGCAGTTTTGGTAGTCAAAGGGAAAGTAAGTGACATCAATCTTGCAGGAGCTTTTGAATATGGCTGGAGGAATCCATGTAACATCACCATTGTAACGAAGCAGGGCCTTGGTTTTGTCATCAACCTGGAAATCTCCAACTGCGCTGTAAGACAGAAAAAGCAGGGTGGGGGGTTAATGTGATTTTAATGATTTGCAAACTTAGATGTTCCTTATTCTCTCCATTAGGAATATGCAAAGTAAAAAATGACCCATGCAAAATGATAAATAGATTCCGATATAGCTTGTCACTGTGCAGCGATGCTTTATCAGAAATGTACCAAACAATCAATAAAAATATTGAGCCAGGTTTTTAATTTGTTATACTCACTTGTTGTACAGCACAATGTCTGGCTTCCATATCCTGTTGGATGGCACTCGGATAAACTCGACACCTCCAAAATCTTGTGGATTCCATCTGAGTTTGTAATCATTCCAGATCTAAAACACAAAACAGAATGATTAATTTTCCATTAAAAACAAGTCAGGCATTTTACAATGTGTAGAAGTCTGTGACAAATTTAAAGTCTTAGAATGATGCATGAAGAATATCAGCACCTGAATTGTTAAAATTGAAAATAGTCTTTGTCTGTTCTATGCATTATAAAATTGGCTTTGAATTTGTTTTATAGACATTTGAGTTTGGGTCACAAATCTAGTTGGTTAATCTAACACTTTCACTAGAATTTAACAGCTCAATGAAGGCAGTATTTTCTCAATAAAAAAAAAAGTACAAATTTCACTACTCATCAAGTTGGCGTCAGAGGCTCATTCAAAGACAAAACATACAATATATTGTAGCGATGGGGCGGAGAGACACTGTGCAGGGTCCCCCAGAAGGCCTTAGGGGGAAGTATGTAGCAGGATCCCTCATAATGCCCCTCTGGGTGGGATGTATTTAGTTTGGGGTTGGCGGGGATTGTTCAGTGTCCTGGCCATTGGTGTGGTTGCCCACGGGTGTGTGTGTGAATATAAAGGAGAAAAAGGCAACTTCTGTCCATTGCGCCTTTCTCAAGCTAGCCTACAGTAAATTGGTGTCAGAAGTGTGATGGGGAAGAGCCGCAGGAGCCACAGGAGCCAACAGAAGCGAGGGGAAGTGCAATCTGAAGCAGAAGGCCCCACAGCTGCTGGGGAATTGCCTGCCACCCCACTCTCAGCAAGAGCCCATCAATATGAGATTGATGTTGGAGCCAATGTTCCTGACCAGGCAAGCCACAGGAACCGTGCCTAGTCATCACCACCCCTGCTTCACAGGGACCCAGAGCCAGCACCAACTGACCAGCAAGCTGTTCCAGAAATGCGAGCGGGTCAGTCCAAGCTAGGGGCGGTGGGACCAACCCCCACCACAATGATGATCTGACCATAAGGCTGCGTGGGGAATGCCACTCTGCAGTGTGCCACCTTTTCTACACCCCCAATTGGTAGCTGCTGCTGCTGCTGTTCACTAGATGGAGGAGGCGAAGTTGATACCGCTGGTTTTGTTGCTGACTGAGGATGCCTAGTCATGCCTGCTGCTGCTTATCCTGGACAAGCAGAGTGACTATGGTGCCCTGGTGAGTGCACTTCAGAGATGCTTCAGCAAACTTGATTTGCAAGAAGCCCTACGGAGTGATTTTAAACATCACACCCGGCTGCTGGGAGAATCCCTCCGCATTATGGCATAAGAATGTCAAGACCCTGGGCCAACACGCCTAAACCTCCATGCCATCTGGCATCCAGGTTAGGTTGGGGAGAGATCAGTTTGTTCAGGCTTTTGTCCATGACAAGTGTAGACTGTACATGTAGCTGGCCAACCCAAGAAACTTGGGTGAAGCCCTGGAGCACATAGTGGAGTGGGAGACCACTGCCTGTGCACAATGGCAGGGCTCCATGTCCAATGTCATGGCCACTGTGCTATGCGGCCGACCAGAGACCAGTGAGAAGAAAGCAGCTTGCCAGGACACTGCCACCCCACCACTACCACAGAGACGTGGGAGAGCAGCTGCATGATGCCAAGAGGAGTGCTGACAGAAATGAAAGGGCAGAAAGGGCTGGAGAGCTACCCAGCTCTGCCTCACCACAGTGACTGGTGAGAGCGCAGCCATGAGGCAAGAGAGGATGCTCAAAGTGACTGTTGCTGGCCACACTATAGAGCACCGGTTCAGACAGGCCAACATTCAAGAATCTTGCATGATCAGCCTTGACCTGCTGCTGGAGTGGTGGGGCTATATTCGATGTGCCTGGGGCTACACTATACCTAGGTGTGGATGTTGTGGCTCTCCACACTACCGGTAGGGAAGGGCTGCGCCCAAATATGATGCTGGGGTGGCCAGCCAGAGGGTCATCTACACCACCAGGGCCAGCCAAGGGTTCGTCCACACCTATAACACTTTCTTGGGCAGTGTGCAACAAGACAGGCTAGTCAGTGAGGGCTCGTACAAGAGAAGCTACAGAGTGAAATGACATGTTCATATTTACTAAGGAGTCACAGTTTAGTTTTGCGGTGAACAAACAGAAGAAAAGCATCAGGAATTTGTGTGTTTGGTCTCAGGCATTAGGTATACCAAATATGAGAGGAGAAAATTGAAATTTATACAAATACCTGATTTACCACCACTGCGCAGGAGGAACTGCTGCTGAGATGCTGCATCTCCAAAATATGTTTGTTGATTTCTTCAACAATAAAGCCTATTAAAGATAAGTCACACTAAACACACTCTTTTTTACTATCTCTCCTGTTCCACCAGTGCTCACTACAGCCAGATCCTTAACAGCTGAAGCTCAGTCAAGTTAACACATTGTTGAGCTCTGTAAACTGTATTATGTTGCCTGTTATTCCACTTCTTACTGCCCCTAGGGCGACTATTGCTGCTGGGGGATATCCTGTCTGGGTTCACGGGTATTGTTGTCTTATTCCTGTTATAATGCCATGCCATGCTGTTAATTTAAATCATCCTGCCTGATTACTGGTCATCCACCACAATACACAACTATGACTGTGCTCATTTATATCATCAGTGTTGGTAATTACACTGCTAAATTTAAAAACTGCAGTGCCGCAATATTTTCCACACCTGATGGTAATTTGCAACAAGTTTTAATAAATATCCCCCTAAAGAGTCTACAGCTACATCTCTGTGAGGCTGTACTTAGGGCGGAAGAGTGCCGTGGTGGTTAGCACTGTCACCTCACAGCAAGAAGGTTCCAGGCTCGAGCTGGGGCTGACCCAAGGCTTTTCTGTTTGCATGTTCTCATTGTGCCTGCGTTGGTTCTCCTCGGGTACTGTGACTTCCTCCCGCAGTCCAAAGACATGCGGCTTAGGTTGATTGGTGACTCTATAAATTGCCCATAGGAGTGAGTGTGGGTGTGTGTGGTTGTTTGTCTACACGTCGGCCCTGTGATAGACTGGTGACCTGTCCAGGGTGGACCCCACCTCTTGCCCTAATCAGGAATAAGTGGTATAGACAATGGATAGATGGATGAGGCTGTACATAGTCACAGCAGATGATAAAGGCAACAAAAGTTAAGGGATATATTTCATTCTAAGGGAGACATGAATGTGTGTACCAAAATCCCACTCATCGTTGTCAAGAATTTTATTTAAAGCCACAAATGTCCACCTCATGGTGGCTCTTGTGGTAAAGCTACGGGATTGCCAAAATCATTAGGCTGCATCTCCTGGAGACAACAAATATCTATACAAAATTTCATAGCAATCCAAACAATCCAGATGGACTAAAATGTTACTTCAATAAGCCTTTTATTAGCATGTTATCTAACAGCTACTGACCAGCATGTTTCTTGCAAACAAGCCCAATTGTGAGTGTCACACTGCCACCTCTGCAAGCATTATTTTGGCAAGTGCATTATTTCACTCTTATCTGCAACTACACACATTTGCTCTGGCTGATTTTAAACACACTCTCTTATAATGTCCCTCATAAAAACAATTGTCATCTGTAGTTGTGGTATATAAACAGTGCTTATTCAGTATGTGTATAAGCAGATAAAATAGACCGCAGTTTTGTGTGTTTTATGGAACTTTATGCTTCCGTTTTTGAACCTCTCTTGAGGGCAGGCTGTGATCCTCATGAGACTCATAAAGGAACAACAGTAAAGCAGCCTTAGAGAGCTGTAAAATGTAACTTGATTAGAAAACACTGGGTGGGCAGTAGACGAAATGTACCTTTGTATATTGCTGTGAGGGACTCTAAAACAACAGATGAAATAAAAATAAATGACACGATGCTTAAACTTTCAGCACCAAAGAGCAATTACTGCTCAACACTTTAGCACTCCAGCACAGATTTTGATTTTCTCAGCACTATGGGACCTGGAGGCTGGCCCTTATTCATTTGATTTATAACCAGTTCACTGCTACTGTATATGCATCATGGAAGAAGAGGCACCATGTGGGGCCAAGTAAATAATAAAACCATCAAACCATACAGCATGTAACAGTGCTAGCTTTACTGACATTGTAGACTTTTTTTATGATTATGATAGAGACATGATGTTTAATCAGGTTTAGTGTAGTAAGCAAAAGCTTAGGTTTCTATCACAGTGTCAGAAGGAATATTCATAAATCCACTGTAAAATTATTTCAGAAACACACTAAAACTGACCATGGATTCTGAGTACAGTTGATTTATAGGGTTTTAAGAAAGAAATTGGACCAGAAGGATCAATGTGTTTAAATGACTTCCTCTCATGAATAATTCAACCAGTCAGTCTAACCTTGAAGAATAATGTATGACAAAAGATCTGATCTATACTTGATGCCCTTGCTCAAGGTCCATTTGCACAGTCAGGCACCATTAACTTACATGTCTCAGCCACAGATTGGTCTCCATGATCTGATTGACTTCATCCTGAAAACAGAACACTGTTGGTAATGAAGACATTTAAGTAAAAGAAAACAAATGTATGTTACAATGTTTTAGTTAAAACAGGAACCATCACAGGCAGTTCCACCTTTCACCATTGAGGATTGTTTATGTGCTTTCTGCAGGGTCAGACCACTGCATATTCCACACAAGAGGATTCAGAGAGTCCTCCATGCCTGGGCCAAAACACAACACAACACAACTTTTATTCTAACAGTGGAGGGACTAGAGGAAGTAAGGGAGCAAAACTGTTGGGGTCAGTTTTGTGTGTGCGTTAGACCGTGAATGAACCAATCTCATGATCCAGTGCATAACATTAACCATTTATATGACAATTTAGTAACCTGGAAAGGTTCTACACAGCTGGTAAACACAGGTGGATGGAAGAAGGCTGCGGGACAATCTTTACTGGAATGGGAGAATAGTGATTTTTCTAAATCTTCGATAGCTAAGGTTTACATCCTGTGTCTCATCACCAAATCTGTCTGAGTACAAGAGAAATATGTTCTGGGTCACATCTAAAGAAAGCCTTTTAGAATTTGTGAGATATTTTTCTAATGAAATAAAGTGATAATTTAAGGATTTCCTTGAATTGTCATAATTTCCAGGCAGTTGTGCATTAATGTGAGCTTACCTGACATCCACTGGTGCCATTGTAAAAGCATAATTTTTTGACTGCATGCGGTTTTGTGGATATGTTTTACCTTCTGCTGCCTGCACTGTGACCAGAGGACGTGGAGAAAAATAAAGGGCCTGAGGTTACTGCATGTCCATGAATGTTCATGCACAGGGACTCACTGTTTTACCTGACTGGGTCTAAACTACAAGCAGCCGGCCTGTGATGGTGGGTGCAAAGCTAATGTAGAGGTACCCAAGATTAAACATTAGATGGCTGGAAATGAGCATGTCATGGGCACTTTAAGAAACATCTGTAACGTCTGACTCACTGTCACCATCAAGCAGCCCAGTGAGTGTGTGGTATAGTCTCTGTGGGATGATGGCTGAGGCAGCCGGGCCAATGAGCTGTTGATGGTTTGAAGGAGCTCATACAGCCCTGCTGTAATTGGTGTAGGAAGACCAATACCAATTGCAGCTGGGTTAGGAGCAGGTGTGCAAGGGAATAATAGTCATCTATCAGATCCGGATGCTCCACAGCCTGCTACATTAACTGGGTTAAGGAAAATATCTCTTTGTCTTCCATTGTTCTAGGCAGGTCTTCACTACAACTGTCTTCTGAGAAAATAAAAATATACACAGGCACACTGAAACTACCAAGAACAAACCACGGTTAGTTTTGACCTTGGCTGATATTTTTTCCTTTTTAGAAAATATTACAATATAAAAAGTTTGTTTTTTCTTTATTGGACAACACTTAGACAAGAATCAGTACCACTCTCAGTATGAAGACAAGTGACTCTTAGTCTTGTTCAGAGGACAGATTTCAAGATGGGACAAGCACTTAGTATGGTTCTGTACAAATGTAACAAAGTTTGCCTGCCAAGACTTCTAAAGCTCCCAAATAAACACGTAATATCACAAATGTCTTATTCATGCAAAACTTAAAGTGTAAAAGAGCTGATGAGCAATCAGACAAACAGGTTTAATTCAGTTGTATTTAAGTGTTGGCTGTTCAAGGCTGTCTTTCCTATCCAACCTGAGCCTTTTTGCTTAATTATCAACCTTCACTGTAATCCTGTCTGAGTAAACTGAGAAAGCCTGTACTGCCAGTGTGCAGTCAGTAAGCTTCAGCAAAGCCTGCTGCTACATCCAGCGGTGCTCATATGACGTGGCAGCGATTGAATGATAAAGGCTGCCTACAGTCTGAGAGGCACTCAGACACCTGACTTTTCTCATCTTGTCTTTGCCAGATTAGCAGCCACACTGGCCATCTTTTCATCTAGTTCGCTTTTCAGTGTTATATTCCAGGGGATACTGTTCCCGGGTGGGGTAGTATCTCAGGTTTACAGGTGGCATCCCAGTCATTCCCTTTTCTAAAACTGTGTTGAACATCTACAAATGCACACACAGCCTATTTCTGAAACAAACAAAAAAAAAAACTTTCTGTCATCTACTTACCACTTTGACCAGCTGTGACATGGACACTTCAAACTGTACAATGACTGGATCAGATACATTTTCCACCGGTCGTATGTACTGGTTGTAGCTGGAGAATATCACAGAGAAGAGCTTGTGCTCTGCATCTGAACATATGCCTCCTGAATTGGAGCAGAAGGTTAGACATACAGTATGTGTATCACAAAGTGTTTAGCTGGGTCATAAAAGCTTGCCTTCATGATAACTAGCTGCCAGATGGTCATATTTTTTTGTTCTCAACAATCCAGTTAGCAGTGTCAGATCTGACCTCTCTCAGTACCACACTGGATACCACTAGTTTACCATTTAGTTATTTTTTATAACCTGATAGTGTTACCATGCAGTGTTGGTTTACTGTAGGTTGGAGATTGGCCTCAGTATACAAAAAAATAAGTGGTACAAATAAAAATGCATATGTATGTAACTTTCATAAGGCAAAATTACTATCAAACACATTCATGTAAAGCAACAAGTCATGTTAAAATAATTGTCTATTACTCACCTGACAGTAAAAACAGAAGGAGGAAATATGTGGGCAAAACAAAGCAAAAAATGACTTTCATCCTGTCTCAGCTCACAAACATTAATCCAGAGGCAGAAGCAGCAGTGCTCAGCGCAGCAGACAGGAGGAGAACGAGTGCAAGCATGTCTGCAGCTGCTGAGCGAGCTGAAGAGCAGGGAGAGGGAGGCAGAGTCACTCTGACACACACAACCACTCAGTGACAGGAGGCAGACCACTGCAAAAAAAAAAGTGCAACCTATGGCAACCTAATCTGATAAAACGGGGGTGGACTGTTTGCAACTGGTTTCACTGGCTACAAAACAAGCTCCTTGATTTCAACCAGCTCTTTTAGTTAGTCCACTGTGTCTGCTTTGTAATAGAGTGGTCTAAACAGTATCTACAGTCTAAAACTAAAATGAAATGGACTAAATTTAGATTATGCACCACTAATAATTTAAAAAATAAGACTGACTTTCCCGCATATATAATAGGTGGGTGGTTGAGTGGTGGTGGTGGAGTATCTTAGGATAGTCTACAAATTGTTGTGTAGTGTTGTAACAAACAAATGTAAAATAAAGAAAAAAATTCTGTTCTTCTAAAGCACCTTTTTAAACTTTTATTCTCAGTTAGTTTCTAACTATGAGTGATGGCGTCCTACATGAAACACTCCTTATTACCCAAATTTAGACCAGCTTTTGGTTACTTGACAAAAGTTGATTTAGTCACGCTCAATCAAATCTGATCAAACTACACCGATACAGTTATGATGAAGCAGTTTAGCTGTGTTTTTGAGTGTTGAACTGTAAAGATGTTTTAAAAATTGATTCTGCTTATTTAGTAATAAATATATAATGTCATAAAGAAATACTTTATTGTCAAGAGATGTCAGAGCAAACATTTTTCTGTGAACAGTGCACATGGACCTACACACTGTGTCTGGTGCTCACACATTTTGCTCTCACATGAACAGCACTATCCCTAAGTAAAAAGATTAACAGCCTCTGTGTGACACTGGTATAAGGTTTGGGTGATCTCAACAAAACAGAAATTTTACTGATTGATTCTTTTATTTCTGTTATATTATGAGATTCAAAAGATGTTTAAAAATATTCACTCCTAACTGGGATGCACAGTAGTCCTGTCCTTCTCCCTACTGTTATTGCAGGCTAGTATTATTCTTTCTATTTTATCCCTTTGCTGGGCAAAGGGATAAAATAGGTCGGACCCTCTCTTTCAGCTGGATGAAGGGGCGAGCCAGTGTTTTTCAGCAACACTCTTAACTGCTTTAGGTGGGGCAAGTAAAAAGAGAACTGTGCCAAGGGGATTAATAAAGTACCTCAGCACATAAAATAGAAAGAAATGCTAATGTCACCCTCAGAACGTTTTGCTGTTTGTACACATAGAAGGATTCAGCTGAGGCTGAAGTCATTTAAATTGTTGTCTGGTGACAAACAGCTTACAAACATTCACAATGCTTATTAGAAACTAATGACATAAGGCTTGTGATTTATTGGATATTCCATTGAATGTTTAATGAATGTTTTTCTGTTGTTGTTTTTGGACTGAATCAGATGATAGACTGATAGGTGTAAATTGCATTGTCTTTGCTAATGACAGAAAGTTAACGGCTGAATGAAAAAGCAATGAATGATCTTCGAAACCCTTAACACAGAGGAAAGTTAAACAAGTCCAGTCATTAACATGTAGTAGATACTGACTGCTGTTGCTTGATTTAAATGACACAACAAGAACCAACAGTCGGCAGAATCTTTAATGAGCCCACTCAGCACTGTTCATTAAGCACTACATTTGTGTGTGTGGGGGGGGGGGATCTGCTTGCCTGGCTGTACAAATAAGCACACAACAGAGATTAAGATCATTTTCTCTTTTTCATAAAAGCCTTGGTAAAAATTTATAGAAGCGTTTTGCTTAAGAATGTGTGTCACAACTATGGCTGCTGCTATGGCAAAACTATTGGGTCTTAAGACATTATTAACAACATCATCCAGTGATTTTGTTGCATCAACATATTTTTTTGGTCTGGTCATACAATCTCACATTATAGTGAATAGCTGTCTTATGTATGTGATGAAATGTTGTAATTGGCACAACCTCAGTAAACCTATTGGCTCTGAGAAATGTATCACCGCTTTGGCAAGAGCCTGACAATTTTAGGACCTCACTGGAGATTTCATACATTTAATCAAACTGACAGAGGACACAGATTTATCCTTATTATTCCTCACATATCACATTTCAGTGATATGGTAATATAACCTAAGCACAAAGAATAGTTAATCAAGAGATGACAGAAGACAACTGGCACTCCTATCTATATCAGATCATATCATTTGGCCTGCAATTCACTCAGGTGCCATCTTGGTGGACTGCAGCACACATAGAATTATGTCAGGGACTTCTGGTTTTGCTAATACACCATAGAAAAAAAAAAGCAAACCCTTAGAAGACTTCAAAACTATTATCTATTATTTGCCTGCATCCCTTTATAACTACGTTTATCCTAACAGCTTAGAATCACTCAGTCTTCAGTGATAGTCCTCAGATGCGAGGGGTCTCCGAGCTGGGCTGCTGGTTGGGAATAACCTGACTCTGAAAAAGAGGCTGGAGAAACAGGCCCAGGGTGCCCACCACACACACTATCACAAAGATCCACAGGAACACACGATCCACCACCATGGCCACATACTTCCAGTCCTCTATCACCTGAAAATACACAGGAATCAGATATGAGTTAATGTGTAGCTTTCAGAAATGTGTCACAACACACCTTACACAGACATTTTTCATATTAAACCAACAGTTCTGCAGAGCAGTGAGATGACTGAATAATCTTTATTCAGTGTGTTGGCCAGAGGCTGCCATGAATGTGTGCAGACATTCATGAGCAAAGAGAGTAAATGTGTCACTGAATGAGTCAGTGTGTGAGTGCTTAATCTGACTCTTTGTACAAATGCAATTGTTTGGTTTCAACAACAGATATAGCTATTGACCCTTTCACCCCATTTTCAGTGCTGTCCATGGTGGTTCTGGAAACAAGTCATTTCTCATTTCTGGTTCCATCCCGTTTTTATTGATTTGTTAGAGAAACTGATTGATTACCCAAAGTCTGCCTTCAATTTGTTGGGTCATAGCCTCCACTTTAGGTTAGTGATATTCTTTCCTGCACCTCAAGGGTTACCAACTGTACAGTAAATGTTAGGACATCAACAGAAGCAGCTTTAATGCATTTTTTTTATTATTATGATAAATGGAAGAAGAAGAGACCAACAGTGGAGCCTCATTGTTAAGATTTTGCAAATACCTAATTAGCTATGATTTGATGAGGAAATATATAAACTTTAAATAAACCCAGTTATTCTTGTGCATAAGATACATGAGATAAACTCATGAAAATGTCTAATTCTCAATAAAACATTTGGTTTAAAAGCGTATACATACACTCTGATCATCATCATCTCCCATCATGTGCTCAGCCACAAAGCGCACCCCATTCACTGCCTCCTGGATATCAGCAGCCCAATCTGAGTCGCTTCTCTGTTCAAGGTCCTGGGTGGAACTGGGAAGGTAATCAGTGGAGTGCAAGTCCCCTTTCCTGTTGGACTGGCTACAGCCCATTGAAGACACTACATTTTTGTGTCCTGGGGTGGAGAAGGCAGAATCGGAAGACAGCAAGGCAGAAGATGATGCGGTGATACCTGTTTTTGATGCAACAGGGTAACCCAAACCTAAAATGACTCTTCTTGCCCGTAGGCACCGTTGCTGACGAAGCCTTTGGCGTGCCGAGCTATTGTGAGGACGTTCCATAAAGAGTAAGGCAGGCAGTTTGACAAGAAATATCAGCTTGACCCAGGAGGGCATAGTGTGGGTGCTGGGAGAGCGGTGGTGCACATTGAGCACACACACACTGGTGATGATGGAGAAGGTCACCAGCACCATGGTGAACATCAGGTACTTGCCAATCAGGGGTACCTCCAGGGAAGTTGGAGGAACAATCTTTGAGATTAAAAGCAGGAACACAGTCAGAGCCAAAAGGACAGAGATGCAGAGGGTCATCTTCTCTCCACAGTCTGAAGGCAAGTAAAAGACGAGGATGGCCAGAGAGGTGATCAAAATACAGGGAATAATTAGGTTTATGGTGTAGAAAAGAGGCTTCCTCTTGATGATGAAGTCATATGTGAGGTCCACATAGGTGGGATCTAGAGGGTTGACGGTCCGTCTACCTGGTAGTGCTAAGATATCCCACTCCCCACTGGGTGTGAAGTCATCCATACTAGCCACCTGAGACTTCAGGATTAGGTCTATTTCTGTGTGGTCATATGTCCAAGAACGGAACTTGAGGGTGCAGTTCTGCTGGTCGAAGGGAAAATGCTTGACCTCAATCTTACAGGCGCTTTTGTAAATGGCTGGAGGGAGCCAACTGATGGTGCCATTGAATAGAACAATGGCATTGGTGAAGACTGTTACCTCATAAGTACCATCAGCACTATGAAAAGACAAAGAAAGAGAAAGAAAAACAACATCTGAGGCTTGTGTTATCAATGCTGCAATCACACTGTGAAAAAAGTTGCTCATACCAGAAAATCCTATTGGCTATTTCCTACAAATAAGCAGAGTCCATTTTAAAAACAAAGACTGAAAAAAATGAAACCTTCATTGCATATAAACACGCATTCCTTGTGATTTTAAACATACTTGGCCAATAAATGTGACTCTGATATAGGCTTAAAGAAAGATAACAGAATTTGTACACGAACAGAAAATGTAACATAACACTATGTCGTTCCACTGATGCTTACTTGTTGTACAGAACGATATCTGGGAGCCACATGTGTTTGGATGGAATACGCAGCTTGTCGATGCCTTCGTACTTTGCAGGGTCCCATGATAACCTGTAATCCACCCAGTGCTGGAGAGACCAGGCTGTTAAATCTGACTTCCACACACTTTCTCAAGACCAGGTCATATCTAATTACATGCTTCATTATAAATGAAATATATTTGGTACACAATTATGGAAGCAGTTTGTTCCACATTTAAGGAGAGGAAAAACAGATATGGTTTAATTCAAGCTCAGGACATACGACATTTAACAAGACTGAGCTTCATCACATTTACCTGAGTGAGCCAGACATTTGTGGTCATGATCTGTTCTCTTTCATTCTGGAAATGTACAAATGAGGTAGAAATTACTTTCATGCAGTTTTTAGGCAGTATCACAACTGAATACAATCTTTTAAAAAAAATCAAATGACCGTGGTGTTTTGTTTTTGTGTTACACCTGTATATCGGTTTAACCTTGAACACAGATTTAAGCCATGTAATGCTCAGACCATTTTCTGACTCCCAACCAGTTACTGCCAACTGTAATAGCACCCCAGGGGGTATGTGAAGGAGTGTAATAAACAAGACAATAGGCTTACAAATTGGTGTGATGCTTTAAAATCCATCAAAACAACAATGTTAATATATACTTTTTCATGGTCTGTTACACAAATGTGTAGTCTCAGCTAATATAACTCTAATGACATAATGCAGATAAAACAGATGCTCCCACTAAAAATGTTGAGAACCAGGGGACACTTTTGGTTTATAGTTAATCAACATCTCATGCAGAACGTGTCAGCTTCTAAACATCATTTCAGTGCAGTGCACCTTTCACTGCAAATGAAAACTTCATTTGACGGAATCACCCTACGTATTGTCCTGGCTACTGCTTAGCATCTAGTATGAAAAATAACTGTGGCAAAACTCTGCTGTGTTGTTGGATTGCTTGTTAACAGGTTCGTTGATGTTAGTGTCATAACACTACCATAACATTCACTTCCAATAAAGTGTTACCAAATGCCAATTACTCCAATGGGTACTATGCAAACTCATAAACTGAAGCTGTGAATGAGCCTTGCTGTGTTGGTGTGCAACTGGGAGCAGCCTAAGCTGTAAATCAGAGCACAGCCTCTATCACTGTGGCTAAAACAGCTTTATTGCCCCTTTTAATCCACTGTGCTGAAGTTTCAATCTGGACATGACGGAGACAGAGCTCACAGCTGACCAGATCTATCCTCAACTTCATATATCCATTCAGAGCTACAGGCTCTCAGCACATGCTGGTTTGTTATTAACAGCTTTCTCAAAGCTTTGTGGCTCTTACTCTGTCCTCTTTCTCATCTTTCTTTCACTCTATTTTTCTGTCTCCCTTTTTATCTCTTGAGTGTCTCTCCTTCACAGACAGATGCACACACATCCTCCTGGTAGACAGGAGTATTTGGTGCCTCACCACACTGATGAGCTGTGCCAGAGACACTTGCAGCTTCACCGTGACTCTCTCGGTCCTGTTGGCAGCCGGGCGGATGAGTGGATTGTAACGATCCTCTCCCAGTAACCAGTTCATGAGACGCTCCTCTGAGTCAGCACTGCTGCTACCTGGTGGCACAGTTTTGTTCAACAAATATTTTTATGGACAGGTAGTGTACACATGAACATTTACAGAATTAAGACAAAATCTTTAGAATTTTAGCCTTGAAGCTCAGTGGAGGGAGACAGGAAAACTTGGACAAATATATGGAATAGTACTATAGCACATGCTAATATTTGGTAGCTACAGTTTAAAGTCAAGGCTGAATAGGAAGTTGGAGCATTTTTAGCTTCTGTAATGTGACATAATTCTGAGTGAAACAAAATATGTGGGTAGAGTATAGTTACACAAAAGATTCAAATCATACTCTTTGAATTCAGCCCGCTCAAAATGATCATGTGATACGCAGCTGTAGAGGACTCCATGTGCATCTCCGTCAAATGGCGGAGGATGAGTGACAAAGCAATAAATTATTGTTTTGAAAATGTAAACAAAGCCTTTACCAACCTACATACAAAGACACTCCTCTGACCAGTGGTGACACTCAGCGTTACAAGCCACAAGCTAAGGATCATATGTGGTGTCATTTAATGGACGGGGTTAGCTAAATGTACCTAAATTTTTGACTGGACACATTTTTGAACCTGAGTTCAAGATGAGTTTCCAAAAAAAAAAAAAATCTTTGTTTTACAGGAAAAGGGAGATTTTCATTTAAAATACCCAGAAATTGATATACAGTATGTGACATACAGTATATTTGTCATATGACAAAAAACTGACCTCACACAGTTAGAACCTGAAAAATACATTTATATTTTTATTTTGTCTCTAAAAATTATGGTTACATTTTTCAAAAGCCAACAGTTACTGTTGGTGCATTTGGACAGTATTTGAACTCAGCATGAGAAACAACATGGCACTTTGTTTTTATACCATGCAAAGCATCTCCCAGTTGACACAATACAGAAAGTATAATCCCCCCTCTGTCTGGTCCTGTACTAAAACTCTGAAACACTTTAAAAGGGAAACAAACACTGAAATATTTTCTTCATTTTCTGTTCAGCTGACAAAGTCAAACTGCTGATACATACTGCATGTACAACTTTGCAAGTCTTAAGGGAAACACCAGCTGCCAATTAAGAAAGTCAGAAATGTTGTGGAAACTATTTTAAAGTGTTATGAAGGCCCTAGAGTCATTTTCAAATTACATTCAGGATGACAGCAGACATAATTGTAGAGCATTTTGATAATTTTGCTTTTACTTAAAGTCAGATCAGTGGATATGTGTTTTAAATTAGACCCAGCTATGATAAACCACCATTTAGTTGCCACCTCTGTGCCTCCACCCTTGATAAATGATGCTCAGGTCAGGGGTGAAGACAACCCTGACTGAAACTGACCTGGAGCACAGTGGATACATGTAGCGCTACCTCATGCTCCTGGGAGTAGCCGAGTCAATTCATTCATAGACAAACCACGGTGAAGAGAGATCCTTGCTGATGGGCCCATTGAAAAAGATTTGCTACAGTTTTCAGTATTCAGCAGAGAGCTATTCATAGCTGCATAAGAGAGTCATCACTCGTGACTTTTTTTGAAGCTATGTGGTGATGATGGCATACTAAAAGTAAGAATATTAACTGTACAGCCCCAGTTCTTCTCCTCTTGCTTAGTAGCAAACTGTGGGTGTCAGTATCAGCACAAAGACTCCTGGAGCTTTGCAGGGTGTGGTATACAGACAGTTTAGCCCCATGGGTCAGTACATGCTGCCCATGCAAAACAAACAAACTTGTAATAACCTGCTGTGAGTAGCCATTGTATGTCAATCCTGTATGTGTGTTCAGGTTTAATGTGTAAAATGAACAGTGTATCATAAGCACTGACGTTACACTGAGTGAGAGTGAGGTCAGACAAGTTAATAGAGTCAGCTGTTGTGGAGCTGATAAGGTCACTCTGCACAGCATTCTCTGAAAAGCATTATATACTGTACAAATGTAATATAGTTGGAGACCGGAGAAAGTAATGATGTATTTAAATGAACCAAAACACTGAGCAGTGACTGTGTGAGGTGTTACATTGTATAAACACATTGCTTTTCCTATTCTACTTTTTTGTATTCAACTTGTCAGTGATATAATAAACAGTATTAATAAAATAAAGATACTTATCTCTTCTTCTTTGACATTTTCTTTCTCTCCTTTATACGATGAAGAAGAAGAATGTGACTATACCATATGTGTCTGAGCACATCTTTCATGAAGACTCATCTTTTAAAATTAAATTAATAGATTTAGGAAGTGGTTTTTAATATTGTGTACACCTGTATTTGTTGTAGAAGCCTATTGGTTGTGACCCTACACTAAATATCTCAAACCATCTTAGTATTGCAGTTTTTTTAAATTGTACTTTTAACAAAATAAAGACATAATTCAAAAGAACTGGGATATATGCAATTTTTATTATTAGGCTAAGCAACTAAGTCACTGCAATAAAAACCAAACAAGATCAAAAGATGAGATTCGACTTTGGGACACTACAATAAAGACAAATCACTTCTCAGCTCAGAGGCACTTTCACCCAAATAAACCCTAGAACTAAGTCGGTAGATTAAGTCACAGAATTAAAATGAAGAGTTACTCACAGTGAACCAACGAGAAAAAGTAAGCGAGGATGGAAAGAGTCCGAGTCATTTTTTCGGCACCATGTGGTCAGTAGCGGTGAATAGTGATGAAGCCTCAAAGCTGCGTGCAGCGCGCTTCCTCTTGGACATGCCGGACTGTACGCGCTCACGGTATGGACACTTTACCAACACTGCGCTGATGCTTGAAAAAGGAAACATTTACCGAACAGCAAGATCTGTTGTCCCATCACGGAGTTACTTTAGAACAATCCGCCCCATCAAATTCATAGAGCCTCCCGTAGGAAAACGTGTCTTTACAATCCGCCGACGCGCAGCAGCCTGTAAAGTCCTGCAGGTCCTGGACTCGGTCTCTGATGAACTACTGCGAGTTTACACTAGCTCAGCAGCTGTTTTGGATGGCAGGATTCAAATGATGGATGTGGCACTTAAGATGCTATTCACAAAAGAAAAGGCAGTTTATTAATTTCTGCCTCTACTTTAAAGGCTTTGACGAGAAGACGCCTGAGTGATATAAGTAATACAGTTACAGAGGGTTAGGACAGGACTGTGTGCAGTCAGTGCACAGTATGGACCATGTTTTCTGATCTGCGTTACCCCGACACTGTAATACTGTACATGCCTGGATTCAACATCTGCCTGCAGAAAAAAAGGAATTGTTTAGACAACAACTGAAACATGTAACACTCATTTATGTATTTTAAAATATCATATCGTAAAACTTTGTATTGTCAGAAAGAAGAATTTCTCTGTCATTTTCCTGAACAAAAACACACTCTAATGCTGCATTGAGCCTACACAGATATCTGGGTACAAATGTACACATGTGCACATCTGGATCAAAACCTAACACGCATTACAATTGTGGTGACTTCACACTGCTTCAGCCTGTGTGCTTGATTTAGTAAGGTGAGGTCCAGTCAGTGCAGTCTGAGCTTTGCAGATTTACTGTCACCACACTGCTCAAAGCCTCATTATAATGTCCAGAAAAAGAAGTGTATCAGGCATGAGGAGCAGTCCCAAGGACTGTCCTGGGGTTGTAAATTTGAACTCCAAAGGCTTGTATTTTGGATCACAGTGAGCAGATCAATAAAGGCTGATTAGGTTTGACCCTAACTTACTTTATCAGGTCAAAGGGATCAGAGCCATGAACCTGAGTCTGTTCATTTGTTTGCAAATCTGATTATGTGACAGAAAGATGTTTTCATAAAGACCATATCCAAAACAACATTGACTTATAAAAATCTAATGCAGACCAGTGTTCTAGCATTCGGTGTCTGTATTACATGATCTGCAATATAATTTATGTGACTGCAGATCATTTTCTAGAGTGCATAGTGTTTGAGACTATTAAACACGTTTTCGTTCCAGGCAGCCGCTACTTTTATACATGCCTGCATGAGTTACCCTTAACATCCACTTTATGAGGCTTGAATGTTGAGTCAGAATAATCGTTCCCACATTATTTTGATTGTGAGCTCTTAACACAAATCGGTCTTCTTATGATGTCTCATCAGATTTTGCATCATTTGAATTGTAATTTTCCTTTTGCTGACTGTTCTAATAGCACTGAGGCCACATGAGGTCAAATAAGTCATTGTTTTGTCACAAAAAGTCGGCTATACAAATAGTTTTCCTTATTTGTTACTATGTGATCCTCAACCCTGTTTTTGAGTCCTGATCCCCAGACACTTCATGTCTGCTTTTACCTAGCTTTTTAAAGCGATTGCTGAGTGGTTATTCAGTGCAGACTCTTCCAGTCTGACATAAGAATTTCAATCAAGTGACACATATGATAATACTCATTATGATGGAATATCCATTGTCACGCAAACAAACTAAAATTTTCTCAAAGTCAATTTTCAAATTGTAGAAATATGAATAAAACCAAAGAATGAATGAACATGATTTCTTACAAAGTAATGTTCATGTGCATCTATTTTGAATTAGCAGATATGTTTTGATGGAAATCATGGCAGTGGTTAATTAATAAATATAACACTGGGGCAAATACTAAAATGCCTATTTCACAACCAAATGATTTATTGTATTGGAACTGAATGTTGCCACTTAATGCAATTAGCTGACACAGAATGTCAATTTAAAACTACAGAGGAGACAGGGATCTTGTTCCTCACCTATTTCTTTTATCATTGTCATATCAGAGAAGAGTGTACTGTAACTGCACCCTTCATGGAGAGTGGGGTGATGAGAATTTATGTTTCCCTTGAAACCACAGATGCTGGGATATTCTGCACCTGCATGTTTTATGTATTGTCATATTTTTATTCACATTCTTTTTTTATTACTACACAAAAACTGTGGCAAGTGTGCAAAAATACATAAATACACTGTTAGCTCAGTCAAACAAATTGATCTTTGAAATTTGATGGTATCCTAGCAGGAGCATTGACAGTGTTTTGAATATGCTATGAACCTCAATCATGAGTGGTGAAGCACGACTCTCCAGAAATGAACGATGTGCCAGTTCATTTTGTAAATGACTAACAACTTAATCATATTAAACAGCAATGACAGTTTACTGGGACACATTCTGTGAAATGCTGTGTACTGACAGTATAATTTCTAAGTGAAAAGCAAGGTAGTTGTTTACAAAAAAAAAAATCCAAGTATCCCATCACTAATAGACCCCATCATTAATATCACAGTAGACTGATGGGTAAAATTTCATGAATTCCAAAGGTTTAAAATATACTGTTGGTAATTTGTTTGATAACAAATGTGAAGCTGAAAATAGGTTTTTATGTTTGATTTGCCCAATCCTAATCTGTTTATTCCTTAGGTCCTATCTGTGATAATGTCATCTACCATTACATTACATTGTATGGTGAGATATTGGTGGCCCTCAGTGACAAGGCCCTGGGGAATTCTCTCTGGTCCCTCTGAATCATGAAGTGCAAGCTTTCCTTTTCATCAAAAATGTTAAAAGTATCAAAAACAATTTAAAGGTTAAGTGCCACTAAGTAAAAGCCCAGACAAATATAATGGATTTGTCACTCTATGGTTCACTGCCTTAGTAGCAAAAAGATATAGCAATTTTTGATCACATTTTTTTAACCACACTACCGGTGTGTCTTGTTAGATCTGGTAGTTGGTTGGTTCATCCACACTGAACCATCTAAACAACTATTCAGGATAAAATTTAAATACTTTGAAGGTTTAGATTTTTCATCCAGCACCAATATCAAAGCAAATTTTTGATTTCTCCAACCATTGGGTTTATGACCAGTTACCTCAGAAAGTGATGACATTCACATCACCTTCAGATGTACTTTTTGTTTGGTGTTGATTAGGGTTGCGTGCTACAACACTAAACTGCATGGCACAACTGCTATATGTATAAGCATTGTCAGTATTGACAAGTTATACAGAAGTAGCATTTAGCTCGAAGAACAGCTCTGTCCTTGTGTAGAGCGAACAGCTGTAGACTATTGTTAAAACAAGACAAAATCTTCTAATATAAGTCTGTGATAATTCAGACTTGTTTTGTTATTATTTTAATTTTATTATTATTACTTTTTTTATCTAGCATATGTCCATAAAATATATTTTAGCTGTACTGTAAAATGTAGGGTACATACAGTGGGAGTTTAAGCATAATTGGGTCACTGTAGCAAAAATAAGATAGAACCATGAAAATACTGAAAAATAAAATAGCATTTGTAAAAGGCATAACATACCAACATCAAATAATCTCAATTAATATACGTATGTTACACTTTGTGTCAACTGACCAAAACGTTGCATTTGTCCATAGATACACAAGAAATATAATTCATGAGGAAGAAAAGATAATATCTTTCTTAACACTCTGTTGTCAAAAAAGATACAACAACATCCCGTTGTGTTGTTCTGGAAGTAAAGTGTTCTGTTATCCACCTGAGTCGTCTTTTGCTCAGATCCTTAAATTATCTTACGTTGACTCTAATGGGGAGTGTGTCTGTAGTCTCCATTACTGTAAAAACAGGAAACAGCTCCAAAAATGACTAAGGATACCAACATGTCACAAAGACTGAAACAAGTTGAATCTCAGTGGAATTGAATAAACTTTAATTAATAAAATAAAATAAATACAAGTGTAAAGATTTTTACCATTAGCCATGTATCACCTGGGGTTGCTAACGCATTGTGAAGAGACACTGCAAAACCTTCAGATCTCAATTTGGATTGACATACAAAGTATTTACTGACAAAAAAATTGAATACAGAACAGATTCTCATTTGGAAACATTGCTCCCCAAACTAAATTCATGGCACTAAAATAACCTCTACAGAAGAAAATAACGTAACAAAACCAAGCTTCTGTAAGTAAGACAAAAAACAAAAACCCTGGCATCACATGAGAGAAACTGTTTAGCATGCACCTGGCTCTGCAGTATGAAAGGTGGTGTGAGCTCTGTGAGCCTCCTGCAGCTGTCTCATGAAAGGTTGACGATGCACATGCCAGCAGACACTTATAAATGAATGTGTAAGAGATGTTTCTGTTTGCCAAGGAAGCGTGATGGAAGAGAAATAGCTAATCAAAGAATTGCTGCTGTTGCAGTACCATGTTGCACCATTGCTATCCCACCCTGTGTTGGATATATATCAAGCAGGCAGTTCATTACCTGAGAGTGCTTAGGCCCTGTACCAGGGAGTCGCAGGCTCATGTGAGGATATTGATTACACACCTCCCATTGCCTGCAGGGAAATCAACCCATCTCATTGGTTTATGCATGATATTTTAATGTTATGATGATATTCTAAAGATAGAATTGACTTTTTTGTCTCTTTGTGTGTCTGCATAAACATGCACACCTGATGTGTGCCCCCCTCATTTTTATATGTTGCTTCTACATGGTCCCACTGCAAAGCATTAGTTTTATTAGTTTTTAATGCACATTTCATAAGGTCACTCATATTTTGGCTGCAGCCTCAAAGTAAATTTTTAATCAAAATATCAGAAATCAAATATTTTGTAAAAGCAATGAGAAAATGAAATAAATAGCAACAGGGTCATTACCAACACGGGGAGAAGGTCTGTACTTAAGCACATATATTAAGTAGCTCGGGTCTAAGCTACTTGCACTATCAGCCCATGGCATATACCCTAGGCAACACAAGCAGTCGTCCATGGTGCCAAATGCCTGGAGGGGCACCCCACAGAAGTTTGTGTAATTATTTTCATTCATTCATCTTCTACCGCTTAAACCCAGAACGGGGTCA